AATCTCTTGATTAAAGAGAGTAAAACATACATATTTACTTCTTTTAAGGATGGTAATAGATATAAGTCGAATCAACTAACTCAATTCTCTATATTTTATTAGTGAGCCATTATTAAATAGAAAATATGATTTATAGGTTATAATCTAACATTTCTTTAGTTAGGATACATAATATCTATTTCATCATTTTATAAAAACTCATTCTTAATAGTTAAAAAAGAAATATTTATTGAATTATAAAACTAAATCATAATATTTAATGTAAATATTATATTATTAATAGTAATTAATTAGAATCTTAATGTAATTTAATTTTGCTGAATTTTCCTCTACTTATTTAGATATATTATTAACTCCTTATATCTTTAATTTTCATATTCATGAAATCAGATTCATGATTATGGGATACAAATCAAAAGTTATTCTACCTTTAGCTTAATCTCTAACAAAAGCATCAAAGAAAGCAACTATATCAGTTTTTCTTTTCATCTAATAGATTCTAATAAATGAATTATATAAATTTAGAGTCTTTATAAAAGTCATTTTTGCAAAATTTTTAGAAAAGTAGATTAAATTCAGAGTATTCTTTTGATCTATAACCAAAATATATATAGAAACTCTCTTTAATCAATCCTATGATCTTTCAAGATAATATTTATTCGAAATTTTCTCATAGAAAGAGTAAGTAATCTTGTTAAGTAGATTTTTTTCTTTTTAATACTTAGTTTTATATTAGAGCCCTAGTAAAATTTTATTTAAAAATAACTATGCCTCTTTCTGAATAAAATGAGCCGCTTTTTCTCTTCGATCAAGATTAACACATCTATTTAAATTTGGTGAATCATTTTTGGAATTTAACACTGAAACAATTTATTTTTTAAATATTGACATTATGATATATTAGTTATATTTTGATTGAAGCAAAGAATCAGTAATTGTTGACTAAACCAATTACAGTACCTCTCAATTTATCTTGTATCAAACTGTATTTACCATCGTAAAAATATATTTAAGCAAAATTACGAATTTGAAAAATCTCAATGAATCCTTTAGGGAAATAAAGCCACAAGAATGCACAATCCCCACTTAGAAAATAAAAGAAAGGGAAACGAAAAATTAAGAAAACCATTTCTAGAAATTTACAAATATTTCGATAAAGAATCCAAAATCAACTTTACTAAGATCACAATTCTAAATGTTCTATAAACCTTAAATGATCTGTTTAAGCCAGCTAAATTTTAGTATTTATTCCCTTTACAAATGCTATCCAAACTACGATAGTATTTATAATAATTTATACTACTAGATTTCATTTACTAAAAGTCCCTCTACCAACTATTATCCTTATAT